TTTGGATAGAGAAGAGATAGCGACCCCTAGTTTTCACCATTCTTTAAGTTTTTGTAAAAACTTTTTAAAAACACCGTCCATGAAAAAGGGGGTCCGAGGAAAAAATAATTTGACATTTTTAAAGGCGTTTGATGACTTCCTAATGTCATTTTTAACATATAAAACTATGTCCAAGAACCCCCGTTTACGATGTTGGGACAAGATGTATGTTTGACAGATGTGACAGTCTAGTAGTTAGTTGAAGTATGATACACTATTGTGAATAGCTTACCATCATTGTAAAACCATTATATTTGCATCATGTTTATTCCCTATACCAGTACACCCCAAAACCCACTTAACCTTTTTAATAGTTTATTTTTAAATTGATAAAGTGGTAATTATCTTTGTTTGATTTAAGTGATTATTGATCAGTTAAAAATCTACCAGGCGAGTAGTAAAAGTCTAAGTCTACAGACTTGCTGCAAAAGAGGACAAGGTCACTCAAAAACCAACAATATCAACAATACAATTCATAGTTTAGTACTAATTGTAATCAGGTCAAAATACTCAGTTTATTTAAAGTTTGTCAAGAAAATATGTTTTGTACTACAATTTTGGAAATCACATCTCAGGCACTTGGATTAGTTTGTTCGGAAGAAGTTCATTTGAAAATGATTTTTGAAAATACTTCAAACGTTACATCATTTTTTTATTTAAAAAGAGGTTGGCAGCCTCTTTAATCTTGCATTTGCCCGTCCACATGAGCGACAGCGGCCTGTGCGTGGAACGTATCCAGCAAAGCAAGGGGTGAGCCGGTACAGTAAAAGGGTGAACTGTACTGATAAAAATACCCCGCCACAGCAAACCTGCAGACTAAGCGAATTTCCATTTACCTGGCTGGATATCTATTAAAATATTCCCTAAAATTTGTCAGATTTATTTCCAATTTAAATATCATTAATTTATCAACTACTTAGGTTTACTGCTATTAGGAAGATATTGAGGTGTGTTTTTATTAAAATGTTGATAGGTTAGTAGGAAATAAACAAAATTGCCAAATTTGGTCAAAATATATCCATAAACAAGCAAACTGCAATAGTTCATTTATTATCCATAAGAATAACATGGGAATTTTAAATTTATATTTATTTTAATTATCTCCGTAACCGTTGGGCATACAACAACGCTTGTTCAATATACAAAATGATTTCTTTTTTAAGCTCTACAAAATTGGTTTGGAGAGAAATTATGATATTTTGTGTTTTTAGGGTGAAAATGTAGAAAATTGGGTGTTTTTGGCCTCTGGAAACCTCAAAACGAAAAAGTAAATCGGTCCCGGGTCCTGGTCTTACCATGAGACCTATGGCAATAGCCTATTCCCTATATGGGAAATTCGCTAAAAGTATTTGCAGGTACTAATATTCGAACCCACAACATAGCTGCCTTGAGCCCGAAGTCATATAATCATACCAAGATAGAACCACAGACAATATAATACTATTTACATATAATACATCGAATCGGCTCTGCTGGTATTTTGATACCCCCATTGCAGCAAACTTTCTGACTCATCGAACTGAAGTAGCTCCATTTAGTTTAATTGAAATACTACACTGATAAAAGTGCATTTAAAACAAAATTCCAGGCCTAGTATTATTTATATCTTATCTGACAAAAAAATACAAAATAAATATAACATAAAACAATATATTCTATAACGACAATTAAAATATTTGTAGTATTTTTTGTTATGATTTTTTGTAATGGCTTAAACGAATTGACACAATGAGCACTGAGATTTTCTGCTACTAGGAGCAAAAAAACCCGAACCCGCTTTTGATCGAAGTTTATAGTTGACATTGCCAACTTATGCTACAGTAAAACTAATAATACAAATACAAACTATGCGTTCTAATTGTTGTATTATATCGTTATATAATTCTGGAACACTATAAGAGGGATACTTTAGTTCGAATTATAATACATAAGTCATATTTAACATAGCTATAGCTTACCGGTATAATGTTACAGTATATTACTGGAACACTAAGAGGAATACTGTAGTGCTAATATTCAAGTATGTAAGTCATATTTAACATAGCTATTAGCTTACCGGTATGATGTCATAATATAATACTGGAACACTAAGAGGAATACTGTAGTGCTAATATTCAAGTATGTAAGTCATATTTAACATAGCTATAGCTTACCGGTATAATGTTGTAATATAGCACTGGCACACTAAGAGGAATACTGTAGTGCTAATATTCAAATATCTAAGTCATATTTAACATAGCTATAGCCTACCTATATAATGTTGTAGTATAATACTGGAACACCAAGAGGAACACACAGTAGTGCTAATATCCAAATATCTAAGACGTATTTAACATAGCTATTTAGCTTACCAGTATGATGGCATAGTATAATACTGGAACACTAAGAGGAATACTGTAGTGCTAATATTAAAATACCTAAGTCATATTTAACACAGCTATGGCTTACCCATATAATGTTGTAATATAATACTGGAACACTTGGAGAAATACTTAGTGCTAATATTCAAATATATAAGTCATATTTAACATAGCTATTTAGCTTACCAGTATGATGTCATAGTATAATACTGGAACACTAAGAGGAATACTGTAGTGCTAATATTCAATTACCTATCTAAGTCATATTTAACATAGCTATAGCTTACCGAATGAGAGAAAATTGCATCTTACCTGCAACCAAAATACATATTGTATGATTTGCAAAAATATTTATACTATATAACTTGAATACTTATATATTTTGATCTATATGTATTTAAAAGTGGGCTGCATCTATGTAAAAAAATTATTACCACCAAACTATATTTTTGGGTCGGTGGGAAATTAGCTAAAACTGCGTTAGCTATAAAAGTTTAGAACCTCAATAACAAGACTCTCATGGGTATTATTAAATAAGACTTGTTATCAAGGTCGACTTCTTATCGAGGTTTACAACATTATGTGATTAGGGGTAGGATAAAATTCAAGGGGATTAGAAAATGACACTCGTTATAATGGGTAGCTTGTTATCGGGGGTCTTGTTATCAAGGTTTCACATACATCATAATTTTTTGGTCTATCAACCATGGTTACAACATTGTAAGGATTTTAAATCTGGAGCACTTTAGGCCTTGCTGGTAGTTCATAACCAATATTTAATTCATCTATACAATTAAACACATTTGGTGCCACTATTCTATTTTTTCTAGAGTTCAAATAGAGCAATGGGACAGCATTTACATTTAGTCTAAAGTACATATATTAATTAGAGCAATCTTGGAAATTACAAAAATCTTTTTGTACAGCTCATAACAAAAACAATTGAGAGCAAGTATTCAAATGGATCAAATTTAAATAGAGGATCTGTTATAAAACATTTTTAAATATCCAACTAAAAAAAATATGTAAAGTTTGGTGTACAGTATACTTTTTTTGCTTCAGGGCGAAATTAAAATGCTAGATTTGCTCTCTTTCTATTGTTGAAAGGTTTTATAGGAATGAGGTATATTTTTCATCATTTTATAATTTTACATTTTTTAGGTTATGACAACTTTCCCTTGGTTAATATAAATATGGATTCATATGGTGGATAAAGATAAAAGGTAATATCGTTTTAAGATATCGTTGGATTATTTGTAAGGGTTCGTTCTTATTATTGAATCTCGTTTCTAACGTAGTTCATACGGGGGGTGGTGGGAGGGGTACAATCAAATGAGTTCAAATTTGCTACACGTTTAACCTTGTTTTCTCACTTTTGTGTAAATTTTAATGCTATATTATTAAACTAAATGTTATGTTTTAACACTATAAAGTTATAGTTTTCTATCATGGAAATCCTATTTGTTTACCTACATATTAAAACCAATTACAATTTTACTGTGTTTAAATGTAAGTGCTATTATGTGTCTACTTTTTTTTGTTTGACCTTTAAGTAATTGTAATTCAAATAAGTTAATCAATATTTTAATTTATGAGATTGTAGAAAAAAGTAAACAGGCAATTTTGAAATCAAGGAGAAATGCCTTCATAGGAATCTCCATCAAACATTTAAACTAACCAAAAGTATTAAAATGTTGGTATAGAAATTCCATAGTATTACTATATACTGGAAATAAAATGTATATTTACTTGAATAGTAAAAACATCGGTGTTGCTAGTTAAGTAATTTCACTATTTTATACGTAAGAAATGGTTTTAATCGCAGTCATAATCGATTTTTTTGAAGGAATATTTTATTTTCATAGATTATAGCCTAACTTAAGATTTGAAAGTTGCCATTGTTTTATGTTATTTATGATGACGTGAGTTGTTTTGAAAAACATATGTTGTAATATGAAAAACGCTCAAGAATAAAGACGATTTTCATTTCATTTGCTAATATTCTTAAATAACTATGTAAGAAATCATGTTTAGTCCAGGCGCAGAAAAAATCTGCTTCAACAAAACACTGTGTTAAGTGTAGCTTTTATTTTCGACTTTATAGATTTATGACAGTTGTACCACCACAGCACATATTGTCAAATCTAGTCTATTAGTTTAACAATCACGTATTCAGTGGAAGTGGTAATTATGATTGGTGCCCATTTGATAACAATTTTCATGACAATAACGATACCACATTGTTTGAATGTGTTTTAAATTGTCTCAACAAATGATTAAATCTATTGACACTACAATAATTGCCATACGATTAACGATTTCACGATTTTAAAAAAGTGTCAAGAGGGGTAAATTCTAAATTAAAACCTCATATATTAAAATTAGATAAATGCGATACAATAAAAACATTTACGATTTAGATTTTTTTTATAATACGTCATTACATTGCGAATGGGTTAAAAAAATGACCGATAAATTACTCGACCAATCAAACTATTCCATCAAAAACCGACCTGAAGGAAAATTATTGATTGAACGTGAACAGTTTGCATACCGATACTCTCGCTTGTAAAAAGTCTTATAGTATATCCTAGTCTTTACCGTTGGAGAGGTTCCTCCACGACGGTCTGATGGCTGTTGGCGGCGGTGGACGATGGAGCATGGAGCAAGGAGGACGATGGTACGAAGGTATGAAGGGGACGACGCCAGCGCAGCCCTGGTGGTGAGGGGAGGAACTGACCCACCCCCGGGGTGGAATTTAACGTCGGCCGCGAGACGATCCAATCGATAAAAACCCCCTTTATTGAACTCCTCGACCCGCGCGATTTTAAATGTCAATTAGATTTTAGTTCGTCAGATTTTATTGCTGAAGATGATATCTATTTAATCGATATTGCGCTGAAGCTTCATGCTCTCTAAAACCACTAGGTTATTTTAAGGTCATGATGTAAACCTATATTGAACTTAACGACCCACGCGTTTTTAAATATAAATTATATTTTAAACGTTTTACGGGTTTAACTGATCAAAGTATATTTAGAAGGTGGTTCGTTGTGGGTAGGACGTCTTATAGTGTCTTACACATTCTGAATTCATTTAGGGATGTGATAATATAAGTATGTATTGACCTCCACGATCTGTGCGATTTAAAAATATTAGCCTATTTAGATGTCATAAATGTTTTATATTTTATATTCTGAGTTTGTATTATTTTAATCATCAGTTGTGCACTAATTTCACATAATCTTATGAATTTGGACATGCATTAATTGCGCCCAAGAGTTCTTTAATTGTGCTAAGAGGCCCCAAAAAATTAAAAAACCCCCCTCGCAGGGGGGCCCCAAAAAATGTTCCTTAGGTGCGCCCAAGTCCAAGCCAGGTAAGTGTGAGTTGCCGGCAGAAGGAATGTCCTTGTTTACATGTTATCCTAACCTAACCTATCCTAACCTAATCTAACCTAACTTATTCTAACCTGACCTAACCAAAGCCAACCTAACCTACTCAATCATACAGTCAAAGAGGGTTGTGATGAGAATCCTAAATTGCATTTAAAAATACCAATCACATGTTAAACGAACGTAGCAGTATCTATTTCCTGAGATAATATCTTTGTGGTGATAAAAATATCTAATAACGGATTATTTCAGGGTCATGGTTTTTATACCTAACCTAACCTATAATTCTGAACTCTGCGACACAATTGACATGTGTTTTAAACTATGACTTAGATTTTACAATGTTCAACGCTGAAATTATACAGGGTGAATCAAAAGTCAAGACCACCTACTAATATTTTTTTAAGTGGATATACAGACAGAGACATCCTTTTGGTGGTCGTTCACTGTTAGCAATAAGTTTCATTTTTTGATTTTTTAATGTTGAGTGTGCCCCAAAAATGTAGAATCGGGGGCAACTCAAAATTGTAAAGTAAACCCCCTTCAAGTGACATCTCATTTTGAAGTGTTTACACGAACTTAAAGAATGGTGAAAACCAGAATTCGTTATCTCGTTTTTATCCAAAATGGTAACCAATTAATATTGGTTAAAAATACAGGTAATCCATTACGTTGATTTTCTCTTATCTTTTAATTGTGTTAAATTAAATATTTGACGGGCTACCATTTTGGTTAGAGAAGAGATACGGAACTCTGGGTTCGATATTCTTTAAATTTTTGTAAAGACTTCAAAATGAGGTGTCACTTGAAAGGGGTTTACTTTAAAACTTTGAGTTGCCTCCCAAAATCCCCATTTATTGGGGACATTCAAAAATTCAAAATCATAAAATGAAACTACATGCTAAGATTGAACGACAACCAAAAGGATATCTCTGTATATCCACTTAGAAACATATTAGATGAGGGGTCTTGATTTTGATTCACCCTGTATTTATAGTGATTGATATTCAGATATTGAAATTGTTAACGAATTGTTGCGATCCATATGAGGATCGCATTTTAAATAATTTTTCCAACGGAAATCAATATTTGATAGATGCTTACAGTATCATAATAAAAGTTGAATGGGGCTTTTCACTCTTTAATCATATGGTTATACAGGGTTTCCATAAAAAAACGTTTCAAGACTTTGGGATATGGATCCTCACACTAAAAGAAAGAAAAATATTCATGTGAAGGTATGTCCGAAAATGCATATTTACCAAGATATCCACCACTTTGTGTTTTATACATAAACATTTTTATCTTTAAAATTATTCAAGTGATGATTATGAAACTTGGTTTGCATGATAAGGTAGAAGAGATCTATGATGGGGGAAAATTAAGTTGGTTCAACTTAAAATTTCAAAATAGCGGTAGTTTTAAGTTTTATAACTCAAAATAGGCTACTAAAAAATGGCCAGTTTTATGAAATAATGCTCAAAACACTTTTATTTAGCATTTATAATTCCCTATCAAACGACACCAAGATCAAAAAGATCGCATACAAATAACTGAACTATAAAGTTGTTTTGTGTAAAATAAGTCAAAGTTGGGTAGCACTTTATTTTGCCTTACAAAGATAAAATCTTTATATTTAAGTTATTTGTCATCCGATCTTTTTTATCTTGGTGTCGTTTAATAGGGAATTTAAAATGCCAATTAAAAGTTAACTTGACAATCTTTTGAAAAGATTAGCCATTTTCAGTCATTTGAGCTATGAAGATTAAAACTGCCGCCATTTTGAAATTTCAATTCGGACTAACAAAATTTGTTTTCCTGTCATAGGTCTCTTCTACCTAAACATGCATACTAAATTTCATAAATATTGGTGGAAAAACTTCAAAGATAAAAATGTTTAGGCCTAGTATAAGAAACAAAATTGCTGATATCCGGGTAAATATGCATTTTCGGACGTACCTTCAAATAAACCTTCTTCTTTCTTTTAGTATGAGGATTCATATCCCAAATTCCTGGACGATTTTTATGGACACCCTGTATATAACATATAGTTTGTCATCCCAGCGTGCACAGAAAGCAGACGTTGAGATAGGTTAGGGCGCTGAGTGGTTTAATCAGCAATCGTGGAACAAAGGTGAAACTTGATGTGTACTACTACTGAGGTTTTGAGTGCCTGGGTTCGTAGCTTAGTTATCTATAAAGCAATGTTGATTATTACAGTGACTGTTAACATACATAATTATTTCATTGGCCATCGCCATAGTTACAATGGTTGTATCTACTATTATGTAAGACACCTCTACAGTTAAGTATATTAATTGGTTGGCCATCCCTACAGTTGCAGTGACATGTTAAGTATATTAATTGGTTGGCCAGCTCTACAGTTGCAGTGACAGGTTAAGTATATTAATTGGTTGGCCATCTCTACGGTTGCTGTGACAGATTAGGTATATTAATTGGTTGGTAATCTCTACAGTTGCAGTGACAGGTAAAGTATATTAATTGGTTGGCCATCTCTACAGTTACAGTGACAGGTAAAGTATATTAATTGGTTGGCCATCTCTACAGTTGCAGTGACAGGTTAAGTATATTAATTGGTTGGCCATCTCTACAGTTGCAGTGACAGGTAAAGTATATTAATTGGTTGGCCATCTCTACAGTTGCAGTGACAGGTTAAGTATATTAATTGGTTGGCCATCTCTACAGTTACAGTGACAGGTAAAGTATATTAATTGGTTGGCCATCTCTACAGTTGCAGTGACAGGTTAAGTATATTAATTGGTTGGCCATCTCTACAGTTGCAGTGACAGGTAAAGTATATTAATTGGTTGGCCATCTCTACAGTTGCAGTGACAGGTTAAGTATATTAATTGGTTGGCCATCTCTACAGTTGCAGTGACAGGTAAAGTATATTAATTGGTTGGCCATCTCTACAGTTACAGTGACAGGTAAAGTATATTAATTGGTTGGCCATCTCTACAGTTACAGTGACAGGTTAAGTATATTAATTGGTTGGCCATCTCTACAGTTGCAGTGACAGGTTAAGTATATTAATTGGTTGGCCATCTCTACAGTTGCAGTGACAGGTTAAGTATATTAATTGGTTGGCCATCTATACGGTTGCAGTGATAGGTTAAGTATATTAATTGGTTGGCCATCTCTACAGTTGCAGTGACAGGTTAAGTATATTAATTGGTTGGCCATCTCTACAGTTGCAGTGACAGGTTAAGTATATTAATTGGTTGGTTTTGGTCATCTCTACAGTTGCAGTGACATGTTAAGTATATTAATTGGTTGGCCATCTCTACAGTTGCAGTGACAGGTTAAGTATTTTAATTGGTTGGCCATCTCTACAGTTGCAGTGACAGGTAAAGTATATTAATTAGTTGGTCATCTCTACAGTTGCAGTGACAGGTTAAGTATATTAATTGGTTGGCCATCTCAACAGTTGCAGTGACAGGTTAAGTATATTAATTGGTTGGCCATCTCTACGGTTGCTGTGAGAGATTAGGTATTTTAATTGGTTGGTCATCTCTACAGTTGCAGTGACAGGTTAAGTATATTAATTGGTTGGTCATATCTATAGTGACAGTGACAGGTTAAGTATATTAATTAGTTGGCCATCTCTACAGTTGCTGTGACATGTTAGGTATATTAATTGGTTGGCCATTTCTACAGTTGCAGTGACAGGTTAAGTATATTAATTGGTTGGCCATCTCTACAGTTACAGTGACAGGTAAAGTATATTAATTGGTTGGCCATCTCTACAGTTGCAGTGACAGGTTAAGTATATTAATTGGTTGGCCATCTCAACAGTTGCAGTGACAGGTTAAGTATATTAATTGGTTGGCCATCTCTACGGTTGCTGTGAGAGATTAGGTATTTTAATTGGTTGGCCATCTCTACAGTTGCTGTGACATGTTAAGTATATTAATTGGTTGACCATCTCCACAGTTGCTGTGACATGTTAGGTATATTAATTGGTTGGTTTATCATTTGTTCCTTATATTTACAGATTTACAATTAGGGTCATGTTTTGGTCCGTTGTAGTGAGGTAGATTAGGTAGCTATTTTCACTTTAAATCACGCATCAAGACACATTTAAATGGAAATAGTTCATTGACTTAATTACAGTAATTCGTTCTACAAAAATACTAGTTCAGAATTCGTTCTATAAGAAAATAAGTTAATGTAACCACAAACCATATACATACAATATAGTAAATAACAAAGGTTAGGTAAACACTTTCTATGATCAAGTGGATTGTTTACATAATCCTGATTATAT